GCGCGCCCATCAGCGATTGCTACAGGCTAACAATTGGTCGCACATCCAATCAGAGGTTTTGATCTCGACCCCACGCCGGTTTGGTAAGACTATCAGCGTGTCCCTCTTCGCGGCAGCTCTCATCTTCTCGTGTACAGGTTGCGAGGTCTCTATTTATTCAACGTGTAAACGAATCTCACAGAAGCTTCTCCGAAACGTTCTTCGCTTCTTGAACATTATCTTTGATGCCCTCAAGATTCCGAAGTATAAAACAATGCGAGAAAACTGCGAGGAGATCATTCTCAATGGGCCTGATGGAGTTCAAGATGTGAGGATTGTTAACTCGTACCCATCTAGGGTACGTACCCCCCCCCCAACCCTGAATCTTAGACCCCACCCCTAGTAGTCTATTACGTGTCCTGGGTCTTGGCAGGTGATTTCAGCGACTTAATCACACATGACAATTTGCCACGTTGGCTGCGGCGAGGATTCTTCTGGCTTGAATTCACAGGGTGGGCCAAACAGTCGACGGAACCCTGCGAGCCATTCTCTCTCGAAACCCTGCGAGTCTCGCGTTACCGTTACGGGATTGACATCCCGTTGGTGTTTGGGGAATCCCCTGTGGCACCCTTGAGGATTGTGTCTACAGTGTTCATGTGGGGCAGATGGGTTTCCTGAACCACTCATGCTATGGGTTGTCTAAATGTACACTCCGCAGACAGGGACACTTGCATTTCTAACTAAATTTGAGACGCCTAGATGGTCTCGAGAGGGACGACGAGCGCTTCGCCGATGTACTGCGCGTCTGTGAAGTCTCCGAGCGTCACAACTCCGCCGTAGCCGGAGCCGTTGATCTTGCCTCCTTCGAGACGCACGATGCTCCACTCCTCGAGCCAGCCCTCGACGAGCGCGCCCTCCCACCGCGCAGACGCCGCCTCCTCCGCGCGCATCAGCCTGAACCCCGCAGGCGGCCCCTCCCCCGGCGCGAGAGAGATCTTGTCAACAGAGATCGCAAGCACCATAGCCTCCTTCATGCTCTCCCCTCCCACGTCCCCGTGCACCACCCTGTAGGTAGGCATGACGCGCTCGATGCGCCCGCCCTGGAGCCTGACCACACGCTCCCCGAGGAGGCCATCGCAGCCTAGCTCCTTGAGGCGCTCCTCGGCCTCGAAGACCGTCATGAACCGGAAGCCGAGCGGCGCGGGCTTGTCGGTGTCAATGCTCACGCGTGAGGGGACGAGTCCAGCCGACTCCCCGGCGATGAGCGAGTTGTAGCGCGCGGCGTGCACCTTGGTGTTGAGGCCCATGACCTTGCGGAGCCGCTGAACAGCGTCGTGGAGGTGCGGGGCGAGGGCCTTGACTGCCTGCGGGAGCTGGAGCTCCTTGAAGGTTACCTGGTGGGTTTAGGGTTTAGGGTTTAGGGTTTAGGGTTTGGGGTTTAGGGTTTAGGGTTTAGGGTTTAGGGTTCAAACCGCGACCCCGGCAACGTCCTTGAACATGTCCACGGCGCCCCCATTCATCCCGCGCAAGAGCACGTTGCGGAGCCGTGTCTCCATGAGCTTCGGCACGGGACGGTTGGCTTCGACGCCCTTCATGAGCACGGCAGCCAGCCCCTTGAGGTCGGCTTGGCTCATCTCGCACGACGCTTCCAGCTCCTCGCACACCGTGGCGACGACTGACGCGAGGTCTCCAGCACGCGGGGCGGAGGCGATGATGCGCTCCGCGATGGCGTCCAGAATCACGACGGGGTTCTTCTCGCGCAGCTCACCGAGGCGCTGTCCGACGATCACGAGCACGGACGCCGTCAATACCTGTAGGCGGAACGCGGCGTGCATCCCTGCGAGGCGCGTCACGTCGAGGAGGAGCGTCTCAGGGCATGCCGCGACGCGCGGCGGCTTCGCGCCCGTCAGCAGCGCTACGACACCCGCGTTGAGGACGGAGATGTAGGAGGCGGACTTGGTATGGTCGCGGGTGGTGAGGTCGCAGAGGTTCAGCCGGCCTGTGCACACCTCCGCGTAGATGGCCTCGCGGAGCCACGTGCGGGTGCGTGTGAGAGAGAGACCCCCCTCGCGCAGCTTCTTGTCCATGTGGTTCCGTTCGTATTCCACCCCGTGGTCCTTGATCACTGGCGAGATGAGCCGCAGGCGCGAGTTGGCCACCTCGATGCGGACGGCCTTGGTGCGGTCGAGGAGGAACTCGAGCGCGCGGCAGAAGGCATCCGGCTGCTTGGTCGTATCCCCCGCGCTCGCCTCCATCTCCCACCCCACATCCTCCCATGTTGCCTTCATCGGTGACCCCGACGCCGCTCCCTCACAGGGCTCTACCCCGCCCCGGAACTGGTTGAGGATGTACTTCACGTCGTGGATGAGCTTGATGCACGACGCCCAATCGAACCCCCCCGCGTCCACTTGCTGCTGGATCAGCTCGATGTCGAGCACGTCCGCGATCTCCGCCGCACCCTTCCAGGCCCCCCCCCCGCTCGCCAGGTCGTGGATCCCGTCGCGGATCTCTCCGATGACGCGCACGACGCGCACGTAGCACGGGGGGTCGAGGCGGAGGTCGTCCGCGAGCGAATTCCAGAAGGCGACCTGGGTTGAGGGTTTAGGAGTTGGGTCTATGGTATTTAAGAACGACGCACCGGGGTCACGTACAGCCCCGTATACAAATCGATACGGGGCCACGTATGCCCCGTATCCAACTCTCCTGCATGCAGGGTGAGATGAACGAGCCTGAGCCTGAGCCTGAGCCTGAGGAAGAAGAGGAATTTACCATCCAGGACATCGTGGGGTATATCGAGGACTCGGATGAGGTCAGGGTCAGGTGGTATGGCTTCGATATGGAAGAAGACACTTACATTGACAGACAGGCCTTCTTCGACCAACTGACGGATGGTGGCTTCGAAGAGCTGTGGACAGCATGGGAAGCATCAACGCGGTGGACCATGGAGTCCATCGTGGGGTATGAAAGGGGCACAAAGCAGATCCAAATCTGCTTCGTCGATCACTATGCGGAAGACAACAGGTTCTTTACCAAACAAGACCTGATCCGTCTGGTGGGACAGGACAAATTCACAACGTTGTGGGCCGCATGGGAGACTCTCCTCGAGAGTGCTTCCACCGGAAGCGACACCAGCTCAGGCTCAGATTCCGGGTCCGACGGCGGATCAGATTACGAGCCCAACTAGCTTGCTGTGGGTACAGCAAGCCGCGCAGGAACAGTAGGATCTGCACAGATTTGTACCGATTGCGAATTCAATACAACAAAATTTCAAAAACAACTGTGTCCTGTTTCAGCCAGTGTTGAAATTGTTGAGTTAGGGCTTACATGGAACGAGGTGCGGATCTTGGAGTGCACGGGGTTCTCCCCGCGGCAGCCGCCGTGCTCGTCGAGGGTGAACGCCGGGTCGAGGAGTAGCTCATGCGCCAGCTGCTCGTTGGTCATCCGGCGCGGAAGCGCGGAATACCCCCCCTCAACTCCTGCCGACCCCCCCTGGGCGTGCCCGGTCCCCGCAGCGAGGGTGGTGCGCGTTCGCGTCACACCTTGGGACGCACGGAGGTCGTCGAGGGCCTGGTTTAGGGTTTAGGGTTTAGGGTTTAGGGTTTAGGGTTTAGGGTTTAGGGTTTAGGGTTTAGGGTTTGGGGTTTGGGGTTTGGAGTTCAGGGTTGACCTGGAGCGCCTTCTCGCCTGCGATCTGCACCAGCTTCGAGCGGAGGCGCTCCTGCTGCGCGCGGAACACCTCGCGGAGCCGCGGCGTGTCGGCGTCTCCATCGACGAGGTGGTCCTCGGCCTGGTAGAGCGCGGTAAGGGCGTGCTTGATGCGGTCGACCAGCTTCGCCTCGTCTGGGATCTTCCAGGCTTTGAAGGCCTTGAGGTAGGTGTGGAGGACGCCCGGGAAGAGCAGCGCGTTCTTGACGGGTTCCTTGATGTCCGCCCCGCGCTTCGACGCCAGGATCCCGATGCAGAGCGCGTCGAAGACTTCGAGCATCTTGACTGCCGCGACATGGAGCTCAGTCTCGAGCTTGTTGATGCTCTCGAAGACGTCGGTCTTGTGGTATGCGAGCATGAACGAAGCGAGGAACACTCGGACATTCACGTTCTTGGTTTCCTCTGCGCCTGGGCAGGAGCGAACCCCCCCCGCCGTGAGGACGCAGACGCGGTGGAGGATGAGCTTCATGACCTTGACGAGCACAGTGTCACGCAGCCGCGTCGACAGATCTGCGAACGGGATGGCCTTGGCGACTGCAGAGGTCATGCCAAACTTCTCACCGTCGGCAGCAAGCTTGCGCGTGCGGAACCGCTGCATCTTCGTTGCGAAGTGGATCTCATGGAGCTCCTCCTGGCTCCACTTGCGCGAGCGCTTGCGCGGCGGGCTACGCGCATCCCCCCCAGCATCCCCTTCCCCCTTGATCATCGTTTCGCTCAATTTGCGCTGAATCCCCGCCCCCAGAGTACCAGAGAGCTTGCAGGGGAGGGGCTCCTCGCCCTCCGTGTCGACCTCCATCGCATCGTCAGTGGTCTGATCGTTCAGAAGCCCATGCGCCAGCATGGTTTCGTAGTGAGGGGTGAGGTGTGGATGGTGGGGGATTTCTTGACCACCCGGATCGTGTAGTAAAAATGTTGTTTCAATTTAAAAAACGCGAACCAAGACTTTACAGCACATCTTTACAACACATCTTTTGATTTTGACTGTCTTTACAACACAGGTCTTGTTTATTTTTTGACTAGTTTGACTGTCTTTACAACACAGGTCTTGTTTCTTTTTTGACTAGTTTGACTGTCTTTACAACACAGGTCTTGTTTCTTTTTTGACTAGTTTCACTGTCTTTACAACACATGTCTTCTTTCTTCTTTTGACTAGTTTGACTGACTTTACCACCCTGTTTCTGCACGCACAACGCATTGCCAGCACATGTGCCGCCTTCTGGGAGTGTGTGTGTGTGTGTAGAACGCGCTTCAGAAGACGCGGGTGGAAATATGATTTAATGGAGTTAATTTACACTTGAGCTCACCTCCCCCCCGGTGGGCTATTAGCTCAGTTGGTTAGAGCGTCGTGCTTATGACGCGAAAGTCACGGGTTCGAGTCCCGTATAGCCCATAGTATGGTTCACATTTTGCATCTCACACCTTTCACTCGGACCGTGCTGCTGTGGATTTTTGGTTTTGCAAAAATGTTCGCCTTGGCACAGCGAGGCGGTCGTGTCTACGCTCTCCTCCCAGTCGCGCGCCGTCTCGAGTTCAACGTCGGAGCAGAGGGCGTAGAGCGCGCGGTTGTCCAGAAGCTGCGCGAGCATAGTGTCTAAGCCGGAGAAGGCGGCTGTGAGGAGGGTGAAGAGGGGGGTGGCGAGATAGTCGATAAACCCTGTTTGAACGGCGACGCGTGATGTGGTGAAGCGGTCGCAGTTTTGCGATACATCCATGCCCATGGCGCGTTCAATGTCGCCTTGGAGGAAGAACTCGTCAGTGATGCGCAGAGCCCAGCGACGCGCCACCGCCGCGGGTTTGCACACGTTGGAGATGTCCGCGCACTTGACCATGAGCTCCATAGCCAGCTGTTTGTTCATCTCCACCTCCACCGCCGGGTCTTCGGCGCGGCGCGCGGCGAACTCCTTGAGGTGGTTGATGAATTCAGAGTGGCGAGTGATGTCGGTTGCGAGGATGATCTTCGACACGGAGGATCTGAAGTGGTAGTACTGCGCGGAGGACAGCCCTTCGAGGATGCCGACGTCTTTGGTGCACATAAATTCGAGTGTGCGTAGCGCATGGTGTTTCTCGAGGAGCGCGTCTCGGAAGATGATGCCCCTGTACTTGCCGCGCCTCACACACCTCGATGCCTTGGAGAGGAACTGTGACGTCACCCCCGGGTGCTCTGTGTCGTGACAGAGGGCCGCAGACAAGAGGGCAAAGCGCTCCCACGAGTCGAGGCGCGCCATGACCCCGGTGGAAGTCGCGAGCGCGTTGGTCGTCTGCATCACGTCGAAGCTGTGGTAGAAGCTGTGGTAGGGGTTGTCGAGCATGGAGGCGCGGACCGCGAGGATGAAGCGGCGAACGCGGTCCTCGGCAAGCCCCGCGGGAAGCCCCGCGCTGACGAACATCTCCATAGCCAGATAGCAGAGGACATCGGTGGGCAGGGTTGTTGGGTCGAGGGTGAAGGTGTGAAGATGCCACTTGCCGAAGGCGACGAGGCCCTCGTCGACCGCGGGCCACTCGGGACACGGCTGAGCCAAAGGGCTGTCCTCGCTCGATGGGTTGGTGTCGGCGGCGCTCTGTTCAGAGTCGTCGGACAACACTCGGTGAAACACTGGGGGGTCCTGGACGCATTCGCGCATTAACGAGTGTGAGCAGTCGCTCCGCGATGTTACACTGCCACACCGCCATGGGTTGGTGTCGGCGACGCTTGCGGCGGTCTGCATATGCTCATCACAGTCGGACACCAATCGGCGAAATCCGGGGAAGACCTCGCTCTCATCGGGGATCTTCTTGACGTTCATGACGGGGGTGGTGGCCCAGGAGCTGCAGATGCCATCGTCACCAAAGTACAGAAGGTGGGGAAGTCTGTGAAGGGATGCATGTGTGGTATGGGTGTCCATAGGTCGGTTTAGTCGTTTATTAAATATTAAATATAAATCAACCACGTATAAACACATTGGTCTACATGATTTGATAATCTGCTGTAGGGCACAGGGGCTCCGCCCGCATGTCGCCCCTCTAGCCTGTGCCCTACAGCAGAGGTTATGAGGTAAAGTCACTCCGGCTATGCCTGAATGGGGTTTATCCCCAGAGATAACCCTGTATAGCCCATGGTATGGTTCACATTTTGCATCTCACACCCCTCACTCGGACCGTGCTGCTGTGGATTTTTGGTTTTGCAGAAACGTTTCTTACCTTGGGGGTGGCAGTCTGAGTCTTGGCGGGTGTGGGCGCAGACGTGGCCACTGGCGTCCGAGGCGTTTGCAGCGTGTGTTTGCAGTGTGATGAGTTGAACGGTGAATTGAAAAGAGAAGCACAGAGCATGTCATTCCGTGTGTGGAGAAAGTTTGTCTGGGGTTGGGTATTACCCTGTGAGAGGGGGAAATTTGAACGGGCTTGGGTAAATCCAAACATGTGTGACACGGGTGTTCATGAGACAATCCAGTCGTTTATTAAATATAAAATAACTAACCAAGTAGAAACACATTTGTCTACATGACTTGATAACCCGTCCTACTCACGTCCGCAATAAAGTTACTCCAGATGTCCGGAGAGGCTCCAGACTCGGTGTTAGGAACACCATCTGCAGCGCGTTTATCACCAACACGATGGTCCGGGTTCATAAACACACCACCGCTGTTCTTCGTCTGAAGCTCGTCGTACTGGATCTTGAGAGACTGGTACTGTTCCTCCATCTTGGCTGCAGAAGCTGACGCACACGTCATAACCTGCCACACACCATTGTCAAACGACGAAGTGTCCACGAGCCGCTGTAGACCCTTCTGAAATTCTTCTTTATGGTTGTCACTCTTAATGTCAAGGTTTTGAATCCACTGCTTCATCCCAGCCATCAGAGCTTCCATTTCAACCTTCTTCTCAGACTCGAACTTGAGCAGTTGTGCGTTGCGAGAATCAAGAGCTTGTGAGAGTTCAGAGATCCGCCTCTCCTGTGTAGAAACTTGCTGCATCAGAGAATGCTGCTCGCCGGTAGAATTCTGCTGTGATGCCATCTGATTCTGATTCTGATTCTGATTCTGATTCTGGTTCTGATTCTGATTCTGATTCTGATTCTGATTCTGATTCTGATTCTGTGTAGTCTGGTCCGGTGTAGCCTGGTTCAGGTTTGATGCAGAATTCGAACCAATCGTCGCCATATCAAATAATCGATACTGATGGTGTGTATAGGCTTCCATGTCTTAAATACATACCACAATATAATATCTCACATCTACTACCCCTCATCGAGGATCCTTGCGACCCCTTCATGCATGACGAATGCGATCTTCCCAGACGCAGTGATATCTGACCCTGTACGCGAGCGAGGGGCAAAATGGTCCACCACTACCTCGTAATATTTACCCTTGTATGTCACAACTAGCTCAGTACCAGTGCCAAAGCGAAGCGCTGGTGTCTGACGTCGGCGTCTGATATCAAATTTGATAAACCCATCCTTGACTACACCGTTGTGAAGTGTAAATAAGTTGTTTGTGTCACCCCACCCTTTCTTAAATTTCAGCCCGGTCGACTTGACCATGGTCTATTAGATACCCTTTTCTATATTGGGTTATATAGTGTGTCTGGGGCTGTATCCACTATTACGCGACAATTCGCACATGGATGAGGATAAGTTGTGTTCCTTAACGGTTATAGTGGGTGTACTATGTGGCCTGGTGGCAGTCGCACCTTTCGCCTTGTTTGGAGACGACGGGCTCGCAGAGAAGACCATTATCTTTGTCAGTCAAGCCCCGGCTGGGAATCAAACTGTTTCCACAGCCGTCATCTCAGTCGGTGTGACACTAGACGCGGTTGTATTTGAATTGGATAGCTATATCTGGGCCCACCTAGGGTGTCTGATTACCGCTGCAGAGGCTGCACTTTTATGGGGAAAGGTCCGGAGTATCTACCAAGACGAGTCTATCTTAACACAGAGTCTCGTGCTGAGCTATGGGGGTGCTTACACTGCAAATAACGAATTCTGGACCTTTATTGGTGGGCACCACGTCATACTGCTTATGTTGACAATGTCCCCTATTTCGATACATGCCCTAATTCTCTTAGTGCTGGTCTATGTGTCAGCAATGTCATCTCTCTGTGAGCCTGTTGTAGATGACACAGAAGACACTTCACATCTCGAGGTGTATACAAACCACGTCGTTTCAGTCTGTACTCGTGTGATCTGTACCCTCATTCTCGTCGTGATAGACCAGAGACTGAACCGTCTAGTGTTCATGGGGTTGGGGGCAAGGGCTGACGGGTTGGTGATACAACTCTTCCTTGATTTGGTATTAGTCATGCTTCATGCATCTCCAGAGATAGGGATTGTCACATGTTACCTCGGTCGCGTGGTGTACACGTTCGCAAGTGCAGTCACTATCATGTGGTGGTTGTGTTTGGGTCGTATTTAGCGGATGAGTAATGAATCATTGAAGAGTCTACTTTCATGCACCACAGAGTTGAACATAACGGTTCCGGGTACCTGCGTCGGCAAAGACAGGCCTTGATTGCGAGTAGTGTACTGTATACCATGTCATTTCTTGCATTGAATACACTTCTTTTGATCGCATCCGGTAATCTTGGATATCTATGCCCTTGACAGATACGTGCTTCGTGTCAATTGTATTTAAGGGGGTTGGTTTGTCATGGGGACTGACATCCCCTTCTATGTCTATGGCCCCGCGTAGTACCAAGTCACACATGTCGGGTGTGAATTCTACTACAATGTTCTCAAACTCTGACGTGATCGAGTTTCGTGCTGGTGTTACGCTTGACCATTCTACCGCGGAACCTCTGCCGAATCAGTCGAGTGCTCTACCCACTGCCCCATCGGGTGAATCTGTGGGGCGTGACATGTCTCGAGAGGAAATCCTTGAAATGATCAGGGCCGCTATGAAGAACGCAGACTCGGTGAAGTCGGGAACTTCTGTTACTACAACCAATAGCCCCCAGGTTACCCCTACACAGCCAATCGTCACTCGTGGGAATGTACGCGACATGATCAAGTCTGTCATGGATGAGACTCTCCGTCCGGAGAAGAGTCTTGCGTCCCGGCCGATGACCTTCGAGTCCTACAAGGACACGCTTATGTCTCAATCGCGGACGGGGGTGGCATCAGCTATTTCTCACCCTCGGGATGTGAAGCAGTCTCGTCGCAGCATTAGTGCTGCCACTGTCGAGAACGCTGTCCGGGATGCGCTGACCAAGCATACAGACGCTCCGAAATCGCATGCTGCCACCATCGAGAGCGCTGTCCGGGATGCGCTGGCCAAGCATATGGACGCTCCGAAATTTTGTGCTGCCACTGTCGAGACCGCTGTCCGGGATGCGCTGGAGACGCATATGAACCCTCAGAACCCTCGTGCTGCCAGGCTGCAGCCGTCTCGTAATGAGAAGATGAGCTCCATGCTCTAT